AGTGTATAGTGTAGTGTGTAGTGTATAGTGTGTAGTGTAGTGTATAGTGTAGTGTGTAGTAGTGTGTAGTGTATAGTGTAGTGTATAGTGTAGTGTATAGTGTAGTGTGTAGTGTAGTGCAGTGTATAGTGTAGTGTATAGTGTAGTGTATAGTGTAGTGTGTAGTGTAGTGTATAGTGTAGTGTGTAGTGTAGTGTGTAGTGTAGTGTATAGTGTAGTGTATAGTGTAGTGTATAGTATTGTATAGTGTAGTGTATAGTGTAGTGTATAGTGGAGTGTATAGTGTAGTGTATAGTGTAGTGTATAGTGTAGTGTGTAGTGTATAGTGTAGTGTATAGTGTAGTGTATAGTAGTGTATAGTGTAGTGTAGTGTGTAGTAGTGTATAGTGTAGTGTATAGTGTAGTGTGTAGTGTAGTGTAGTGTGTAGTGCAGTGTATAGTGTAGTGTATAGTAGTGTATAGTGTAGTGTATAGTGTAGTGTATAGTGTAGTGTATAGTAGTGTAGTATACAGTAGTGTAGTGTATAGTGTAGTGTATAGTAGTGTATAGTGTGGTGTATAGTGTAGTGTATAGTGTAGTGTACTAGTACAGCACTAGTGTATAGTGTAGTGTATAGTGTAGTGTATAGTGTAGTGTATAGTAGTGTAGTGGCATAGTAGTGTATAGTGTAGTGTATAGTGTAGTGTATAGTGTAGTGTAGAGTGTAGTGTATAGTGTAGTGTATAGTGTAGTGTATAGTAGTGTATAGTGTAGTGTATAGTGTAGTGTATAGTAGTGTATAGTGTAGTGTATAGTGTAGTGTATAGTAGTATATAGTGTAGTGTATAGTAGTGTATAGTGTAGTGTATAGTGTAGTGTATAGTAGTGTATAGTAGTGTATAGTGTAGTGTATAGTGTAGTGTATAGTAGTGTATAGTGTAGTGTATAGTGTATAGTGTAGTGTGTATAGTAGTGTATAGTGTAGTGGCATAGTAGTGTATAGTGTAGTGTATAGTGTAGTGTATAGTGTAGTGTATAGTGTAGTGTGTAGTGTATAGTGTAGTGTATAGTGTAGTGTATAGTGTGTAGTGTATAGTGTAGTGTGTAGTGTAGTGTATAGTGTATAGTAGTGTATAGTGTAGTGTATAGTAGTGTAGTGTATAGTGTAGTGTATAGTGTAGTGTATAGTGTAGTGTATAGTGTATAGTAGTGTATAGTGTAGTGTATAGTCTAGTGTATAGTGTAGTGTGTATAGTAGTGTATAGTAGTGTAGTGTATAGTAGTGTATAGTGTAGTGTATAGTGTAGTGTATAGTAGTGTAGTGGCATAGTAGTGTATAATGTAGTGTATAGTGTAGTGTATAGTGTAGTGGCATAGTAGTGTATAGTGCAGTGTATAGTGTAGTGTACAGTAGTGTATAGTGTAGTGTATAGTGTAGTGTATAGTGTAGTGTATAGTAGTGTAGTGTATAGTGTAGTGTATAGTAGTGTATAGTGTAGTGTATAGTGTATAGTAGTGTAGTGTATAGTGTAGTGTATAGTAGTGTATAGTGTAGTGTATAGTGTATAGTAGTGTAGTGTATAGTATAGTGTATAGTAGTGTATAGTGTAGTGTATAGTAGTGTATAATGTAGTGTATAGTAGTGTATAGTGTAGTGTATAGTGTAGTGTGTAGTAGTGTATAGTGTAGTGTATAGTATTGTATAGTGTAGTGTATAGTGTAGTGTGTAGTAGTGTATAGTGTAGTGTATAGTGTAGTGTATAGTGTAGTGTATAGTGTAGTGTACTAGTACAGCACTAACCGGTGTGTTGGAGAGCAAAGCCACAACATTTACAATCCGAGTTCGACGCGCTCTGTGCGCTACGGTACGAAAGAAGTTCAACGTACAATTCGCAGAGACCCACAACACCCAGACCCAGAGACCCGCAGAGACCCACAGAGACCCACAGAGACCCACAGAGACCCACAGAGACACTCACAGAGACCCACATAGACCCGCAGAGACCCACAGAGACCCACAGAGACACTCACAGAGACCCACAGAGACCCACAGAGAGCCGCAGAGACCCACAGAGACACTCACAGAGACCCACAGAGACACTCACAGAGACCCACATAGACCCGCAGGCACAGAGACCCACAGAGACCCAAAGAGAACCACAGAGACCCACAGGCACAGAGACACTCACAGAGACCCACAGAGACCCACAGAGAACCGCAGAGACCCGCAGGCACAGAGACACTCACAGAGACCCACAGAGACCCACAGAGACACTCACAGAGACACTCACAGAGACCCACAGAGACACTCACAGAGACCCACAGAGACCCACAGAGACCCGCAGAGACCCACAGAGACACTCACAGAGACCCACACGTGCGTGTGCGTGCGTGTGCGTGCGTGTGCGTGAGTGTGCGTGAGTGTGCGTGCGTGTACGTGCGTGTGCGTGCGTGTGCGTGCGTGTATGTGAGTGTGCGTGCGTGTGCGTGAGTGTGCGTGCGTGTATGTGCGTGTACGTGCGTGTACGTGCGTGTACGTGCGTGTGCGTGAGTGTGCGTGCGTGTGCGTGCGTGTATGTGAGTGTGCGTGCGTGTGCGTGAGTGTGCGTGCGTGTATGTGCGTGTACGTGCGTGTGCGTGCGTGTGCGTGCGTGTACGTGCGTGTACGTGCGTGTACGTGCGTGTGCGTGAGTGTGCGTGCGTGCGCGTGCGTGTGCGTGCGTGTACGTGCGTGTACGTGCGTGTACGTGCGTGTACGTGAGTGTGCGTGCGTGTGCGTGAGTGTGCGTGCGTGTACGTGAGTGTGCGTGCGTGTGCGTGCGTGTACGTGCGTGTACGTGCGTGTGCGTGCGTGTGCGTGCGTGTACGTGAGTGTGCGTGTGCGTGAGTGTACGTGCGTGTACGTGCGTGTGCGTGCGTGTGCGTGAGTGTACGTGCGTGTGCGTGAGTGTGCGTGAGTGTACGTGCGTGTACGTGCGTGTGCGTGCGTGTGCGTGTACGTGCGTGTACGTGCGTGTGCGTGCGTGTGCGTGCGTGTACGTGCGTGTACGTGCGTGTGCGTGCGTGTGCGTGCGTGTACGTGCGTGTACGTGCGTGTGCGTGCGTGTACGTGCGTGTGCGTGCGTGTGCGTGTACGTGCGTGTACGTGCGTGTACGTGTACGTGCGTATACATGCGTGTACGTGCGTGTACGTGCGCGCGCGTGTGTACGTGCGTGTACGTGCGTGTGCGTGCGTGCGTACATGTACGTGCGTGCGTATACATGCGTGCGTGTACGTGCGTGCGTGCACGTGTGTCTGCGTGCGTACGTGTACGTGCGTGTACGTGCGTGCACGTGCGTGCGTGTACGTGCGTGCGTGTACGTGCGTGTACGTGCGTGCACGTGCGTGCGTGTACGTGCGTGTACGTGCGTGCGTACGTGTACGTGCGTGTGCGTGCGTGTGCGTGCGTGTACGTGCGTGTACGTGCGTGTACGTGCGTGTACGTGCGTGTACGTGTACGTGCGTATACATGCGTGTACGTGCGTGTACGTGCGTGTACGTGCGTGTACGTGTACGTGCGTATACATGCGTGTACGTGCGTGTACGTGCGTGTGTACGTGCGTGTAGGTGCGTGTGCGTGCGTGCGTACGTGTACGTGCGTGCGTATACATGCGTGCATGTACGTGCGTGCACGTGTGTCTGCGTGCGTACGTGTACGTGCGTGCGTGTACGTGCGTGCGTGTACGTGCGTGCACGTGTGTCTGCGTGCGTACGTGTACGTGCGTGCGTATACATGCGTGCGTGTACGTGCGTGCGTGCACGTGTGTCTGCGTGCGTACGTGTACGTGCGTGCGTGTACGTGCGTGTGCGTGCGTGTACGTGCGTGCGTGTACGTGCGTGTACGTACGTGCGTGTACGTGCGTGCGTGTACGTGCGTGCGTGTACGTGCGTGTACGTGCGTGCGTGCGTGTACGTGCGTGTACGTGCGTGTACGTACGTGCGTGTACGTGCATGCGTGTACGTGCGTGTACGTGCGTGCGTGTACGTGCGTGTGCGTGCGTGTACGTGCGTGTACGTACGTGCGCGTGCGTGTACGTGCGTGCGTGTACGTGCGTGTACGTGCGTGTACGTGCGTGTACGTGCGTGCGTGTACGTGCGTGTACGCGCGTACGTGTACGTGCGTGTACGTGCGTGCGTGCACGCACGTATACGTGCGTGCGCGTGCGTGCGTGTGCGTACGTGTACGTGCGTGTACGTGCGTGCGTGTACGTGCGTGTACGTGCGTGTACGTGCGTGTGCGTGCGTGTGCGTGCGTGTACGTGCGTGTACGTGCGTGCGCGTGCGTGTGCGTGCGTGTGCGTGCGTGTACGTGCGTGCGTGTGCGTGCGTGTGCGTGCGTGGTGCGTGCGTGTACGTGCGTACGTACGTGCGTGCGCGTGCGTGCGTGTGCGTGCGTGTACGTGCGTGTACGTGCGTGTGCGTGTGCGTGAACGTGCGTGCGCGTGCGTGCGTGCGCGTGCGTGTACGTGCGTGTACGTGCGTGTGCGTGTGCGTGAACGTGCGTGCGCGTGCGTGCGTGTACGTGCGTGCGTGTGTGTGCGTGCGTGCGCGTGTGTGCGTGCGTGTACGTGCGTGTGCGTGCGTGTACGTGCGTGCACGTACGTGCGTGTACGTGCGTGCGTGCGCGTGCGTGTACGTGCGTGCGTGCACGTGCGAGCGTGCGCGTGCGTGTACGTGCGTGCGTGTACGTGCGTGTACGTGCGTGTACGTGTACGTGCGTGCACGTGCGTGCGTGCGCGTGTGTACGTGCGTGTGTGTGCGTGCGCTCGTCACCCAGCACGATGAGCTTGACGGACACCTGCTGGATGAAAGCGCCGAACTTGACTTTGCACGTGTAGAAGCCGTAGTCTCGCGTCTGCACCCCGACGATCTCCAGCGACGCGTCCCGCCGCGTCACGTTGCGGGCGAAGCGCATGCGGGACGCGTACTCCGGGTAGACGTGCTCCACGCCCCTGACGTACGTGGCCAACTGGGGATAGGGGGACGGACAACAAGTATAACCCGTAAACACAAAGTTGTTCACTATAAATCCTTTATATGCGTGGCGTCGGCTAGAGTCCTCTCGTCCTCTGGCTTGAGATGGCTGCCACCTATGGGTCAGGTGATTGTCTGCCACCATTAAGCAATTGGTAATTACATATTTAATTTGTTTTCCCTAAACAGTGTAAAATTTTTGATACATTTTTCACGAACATTAATTGTCACGCACAACAAGTCTGTGTAGCAAAATGTCAGCTCGATTGGATCACGGGAAGTGGGTTAAAAAACGACCGAAAGATTTGCACGACGTGTCCGAGAGAGAGAGAGAGAACGCGTCCAGCGCGGAGACGGAGCCGCGAGACTTTGTGTCGTCAAGGTGCGGAACGGGTCGTCGTTGTTGTTGTTGTCGTTGTGGTCGCACTGCACGATTGAGAGAGGTGGTGGTGGTGGTGGTGGTGGCGGCGGTGGTGGCGGTGATGGTGGTGATGGCGGTGGCGGTGGTGGCGGTGATGGCGGCGGTGGTGGTAGTGGTGGCGGTGGTGGCGGCGGTGGTGGCGGCGGTGGTGGTGGTGGCGGCGGTGGTAGCGGTGGCGGTGGCGGCGGTGGTGGTGGTGGTGGCGGTGGCAGCGGTGGCGGTGGTGGCGGTGGTGGCGGCGGCTTTCATCCAGCAGTGACACAAGCAGCTCAGCACATTCTCTGCGTGTGCGATGGGTTCTCTGTCTCTCTCTCACTCACATGGATGTTGGTGGTGGGCATCTGCATGAACCACTCCACGTCCAGGTGTTCAGTGGGCGCCGGATCGACCGTCCAGGTGCAGCCCAGCAGCACCGTCTCGCCCTCCGCTTTCTCTACCCACGAGACGGCTGCCAAGGGGAGGGGGGGTGGTGGTGACACGGTTGTGAAGTAATGTCTTCAAGAGTCACGTAAATGTTTTTGTGTTTCTCTGTTAGCGCCACAAACACGTCGGAGTTGTGGTAGATTTACCCGCACAGGCTCACTCAGAGAAGCATAGACTCACACAGAGACCCGTAGACTCACACAGAGACCCGTAAACTCACACAGAGACCCACAGACTCACACAGAGACCCCTAGACTCACACATGTACCCATTGACTCACTCAGAGAAGCATAGACTCACACAGTGACCCGTAGACTCACACAGAGACCCACAGACTCACACAGACCCACAGACTCACACAGATACCCATAGACTCACACAAAGACCCACAGACTCACACAGAGACCCATAGACTCACACAGAGACCCATAGACTCAGAGACACACAGACTCACACATATACCCACAGACTCACACAGAGACCCATATACTCACACAGAGACCCATAGACTCACACAGAGACCCATATACTCACACAGTGACCCATATACTCACACAGTGACCCATATACTCAGAGACCCACAGACTCACACAGTGACCCATATACTCACACAGAGACCCATAGACTCACACAGAGACCCATAGACTCACACAGAGACCCATATACTCACACAGAGACCCATAGACTCACACAGAGACCCATAGACTCACATAGAGACCCACAGACTTACACAGACACCCGTAGACTCACACAGAGACCCACACACTCACACAGAGACCCATAGACTCACACAGAGACCCACAGACTCACACAGAGACCCACAAACTCACACAGAGACCCACAGACTCACACAGAGACCCACAGACTCACACAGAGACCCACAGACTCACACAGAGACCCATAGACTCACACAGAGACCCACAGACTCACACAGAGACTCACAGACTCACACAGAGACCCACAGACTCACACAGAGACCCATAGACTCACACAGAGACCCATAGACTCACATAGAGACCCACAGACTTACACAGACACCCGTAGACTCACACAGAGACCCACACACTCACACAGAGACCCATAGACTCACACAGAGACCCACAGACTCACACAGAGACCCACAAACTCACACAGAGACCCACAGACTCACACAGAGACCCACAGACTCACACAGAGACCCACAGACTCACACAGAGACCCATAGACTCACACAGAGACCCACAGACTCACACAGAGACTCACAGACTCACACAGAGACCCACAGACTCACACAGAGACCCATAGACTCACACAGAGACCCACAGACTCACACAGAGACCCACAGACTCACACAGAGACCCATACCCAGGCGCTAACCACTGCACCACCGCTCCCCGTCACCGCAGCAGCTCGTGTGCCAGGCTAGGTTCACTTTGAGACATCGAACCCCCCTCACAACAGATCCGCACCGCCCCCCCCCCCCACCACCGTTACCAACAGCGCTCGTGCCAGGCTAGGTGCACTTGGCAACGGAACAAACACGTCACACAAAAACAAAGAATAAGATGTCACGAGTCACCAGACAGACGCCGACTCACCGCCCGTGGCGACCTCCATCAACAACAGCAACAACAACAACAGCAGCGCAGAGCGAGACATCAACAACGCGGCCGCCATTGCTCTCGTCTCGCGCCGTGACGTCACGGGGCGAGGTTCCGGTGGATTCACCCCCCACCCACAAGCCCCGCCCCTCGCGCCGTGACGTCACGGGGCGAGGGGCGGGGTTCCGGTGGATTCACCCCCCAACCCACAAGCCCCGCCCCTCGCTCCGTGACGTCACGGGGCGAGGGGCGGGGTTCCGGTGGATTCACCCCCCAACCCCCTCCGCTCTGAACGCCCCTCCCCTTTCCCTCGGCAAGGTTAAAGGTCAAAAGCAACCGAGTCGACCTTTAACCCTTGTACCCTGAGCCCGTACGAATGACCAGATTGCAGGGTAACTGCTGGGGTGCCACTACTACACATGGACACGGTGTAGAACAGTTCGATTTAAAGCTTCTTTCGTGACTGCAGGGATTCATCTTCTTGGTTCTTTCGGTAAAGTCATCACGTAGAAGGGAAGTAATAAAATGAAAATAAAACATAATTATTTTATTATGTTTTATTTTTATTATTTTATTACTTCCATTCTATGTGACTTTAACGAAAGAACCAAGAAGATTATTTTATTATGTTTTGTTTTTATTATTTTATTACTTCCATTCTACGTGACTTTAACGAAAGAACCAAGAAGAAGGTGTACAACAGGTGGATGCTTGCTAGAGCGCTGCATTCATGTTTTTAAATAAAAGGGAAATTTGTGAATGTGTCCGAAATGTTTAGCATATTTCGATTTAAAGCTTTTTTCGTGACTGCAGGGATTCATCTTCTTGGTTCTTTCGGTAAAGTCACGTAGAAGCGAAGTAATAAAATAATAAAAATGCAACATAATAAAATAAAATAATTCTCAGAATTATTTGATTTTATTATGTTTTATAATAAAATAATAAAAATAAAACATAATAAAATCAAATAATTCTCAGAATTATTTGATTTTATTATGTTTTATTTTTATTATTTTCAAATAATTCTCAGAATTATTTGATTTTATTATGTTTTATTTTTATTATTTTAATAATAAAAATAAAACATAATAAAATCAAATAATTCTCAGAATTATTTGATTTTATTATGTTTTATTTTTATTATTTTATTACTTCCCTTCTACGTGACTTTACCTAAAGAACCAAGAAGATGTTTAGCATACTTCCCAACATGCAACAAACTTGACATTTGGCACGTGGATAGCTTCCAGACTGTACACAATGCAAAAAGTATAAAAATAGACTTTTGTATTTTTGGGGGGGCGGGGGGGCGCAATAATGGATATATTTTGCACGGCAAGTGAGCGGTGACATTAGTGACGTCACATTAGTGACGTCACATCGGTGACGTCACATCGGTGATGTCACCCGCATGCGTCACGCAGTGTGCCTGATGACGTCACCCCCCCCACCCTCCCCGTACGGTCGTAAGCGCGCAAGCAAGCAAGTGAACTTCATATAAAGGATTAAAAAAACGAACCCGTAGAAACAAAGTTTTTCACTCTAAATCCTTTATATGCGTGGCGGCTAGAGTCCTCTCGTCCTCTGGCTTGAGATGGCTGCCACCTATGGGTCAGATGATTGTCTGCCAGTATTAAGCAATTGGTAATTAAATATTTTAAAAAAATTCCCTAAACAGTGTAAATTTTGGAAAAAAAAATTTTCACGAACATTAATTGTCTGTCACAACGAGTCTGTGTGCAAAATGTCAGCTCGATTGGATCACGGGAAGTGGGTTAAAAAACGACCGAAATATTTGCACGGTCCTAAGCAAGCAAGTGAACTTAATATAACGGATTTAAAAGAGCAACAGAGCTGAGACAAATAGGGGGGGGGGGGGGCAAGCGGAGCCCCTTGGAGAAACAGCGACAGTCAAGAGGGCTGCAAGGAGGAGGAGGGGCGGGGGAAGTGGCGGTGACCGAACGAGACGGCAGAGATGCGCACGAGAGAGATCGGGACTGCAGCCAGGAAAGTTGGGTGCCCAAAATGCCGAGACGGAGAGAGAGACAAGAGTAGGGGTGGTCGACCGTGTCAAAAAAAGCTGAGGGGGGGGGGCATGTAGAGAGCAGGGACGGTTTCTTCATTAGGGCGATTGGGCGACGCACCACCAATGTCATTCAACCACAGAGTGACGCGAGCCGTCACTGCAGCCTCTGGATATAGTCCAATCGGCGTCATGTCACGTTCTGTGGAGTACCGCCTCTTTTTGGGCGATTTCACTCCGGCTGAGAATCGCCCCGAGTGTTCCCATAGACTTACATTCAAAGATGTTTTTTTTCGAACGGCGGGCGCTGCAATGCATTCTCTACGGCTTCCGGGACGGCTCGCCCTAACGTGCTTACGTCATCATACGTAAGCACGTTTCATCTCACAATATAATTTGTCGCCACCTAGTGGAATCTTTAATAAAATAAACTTGAGTGGATTGTAATAATAGTGAGTATAGAAACAAACAAGGAGATGTATTGTAAGAGTCACTTTATTTTTCATTAATATTAAAGAAGTGAAGTTGCCTTTACATGCTTAAGCTGTTAATTTATCCATTGCATGGGTGGACCTTATCCTTATCAATCATCCAGACATTTGCCCCCCCTGAGAGATTTTGCAGGAGCCGCCACTGATAGAGAGCGATGCAAAATATGCCACCGCGTGCATGCTTATGAAATTATTACACAAACCCCCTGCCACTACCCCCCCAACCTCCCCGATAAAAATTATAATCAAACGGTACCTATGAACACGACGCAAATCCTGATGCAGGTTTCAGGCTCTAAAAATTAGCGGCTGTTCTTCATAACCTGGGGTGCATCACGCTGCAGTGCCTGTGGGTGCGAGATGCCCTTTCTGTATTGTTAGGTTTTTTTCACATAGGTAAAAACATTAAAAAGTAAAATAAAATAAAAATCACGACGTTTCGGAGGCAACACAAGCTTCCGTCTTCAGGTGGAACCGTCACAGCCACGACAGCCGTATCAAGTGAATGAGAGATTGCAGGAGCTACCACTCCGTTTATATAATGGTTATATAAACGGATATATAATGGTTATATAAACGGAGTGGTAGCTCTTGCAATCTCTCATTTATTTGATACAGCTATATGTACTTGATACGGCTGTCGTGGCTGTGACGGTTCCACCTGAAGACGGATGCTTGTGTTGCCTCCGAAACGTCGTGATTTTTATTTTATTTTACTTTTTAATGTTTTTACCTACACGGTGACTTTACCGAAAAAACCTAAGGATATGAATCATTGCAGTCACGAAAGCTTCAAATCTAGAACCTCCTTCCCGACACGCAACACGTAACTCCGTCACAATCGCGCTCCAGAATCCCACCTGGATTTCGTGGTGGTTTCCGTGCTGTCTCCACCCCCCCCCCCGCACCCCCCACACATTTTTGAATATTATTATTACGTAAAACAACCTAAACAACACAAAATAGATTGCTTGCCGTGTCATCGCACTTGCAGCATCACGTTTGTCGTCCACTCATTGATATGCTATTTTTTAAAATCCTTTATATTAAGTTCGCTTGCTTGCTTACGACCGTGCAAATCTTTCGGTCGTTTTTTAACCCACTTCCCGTGATCCAATCGAGCTGGCATTTTCCACACAGACTCGTTGTGCCAGACAATTATTGTTCGTGAAAAAAAATTCCCAAAATTTTACACTTTTTAGGCAAAAAAAAATTATTTTACATATATTCAAAAGAACTCATTCTTGGCTTTGGCTGAATGTCAGAGTGTAAGAGCTCAGAGCGTAACCCCTCCACAGGCCGTGGCGGAGTAGCGCAGTTGGTAGCGCCCTCGCTTCCCATGCCAAAGGTCGCGGGATCGATCCCCGCGTCCTCCACAGGCGAATATATTTTTAAATCCTTTATATTAAGTTCGCTGCCACGCATATAAAGGATTTATAGTGAAAAACTTTGTTTTTACGGGTTATGCTTATTCTCTAACCCCCTCCTTCTCTCTGCCTCCGCCCCCCTCTGTCTATTTAAGGCCTCGCCACAGAGACGATCACCCCTCTCTGTACCTGTGTTACTCTCTCTCTCTCTGTGTATCTTGGTGATGTCTGTCTGCTGATATGTCTGTCTGTGGTTTTCTGGTTAGATTCTATGTAGCTATTTCATTATACCTGACGATGATTGCTTGTGTTGCAATCGAAACGTCGTAGTATGCTATTATTTAATTTGTTATTTTATCTTTAGACGTGACTTAACCGAAAGAACCAAATAATAATTCCTGCAGTCACGAAAGTTCTAAAATTAACACAAAATATACATCCAATTGTATCAAGTGCAAGGGCATCATTGGGTATTCGTGAAAAGAACGAGGTTTGGTAAGGGATGCACCAGGGCTTCCCAAAATTGTCTCGGTCTTGTGGTACTGGGCGCAGTCAGGATACCCTCTGAGTGTCCGTACTTTTATGTTTTTTTGCAAAACCTTAAAGAAAAGAACCCCGCCACAAAGAACAAGGAATGAAGATCCGAAGCCGGCGGTGTCTCTCTGCACCCTTCGGCGGTCTGTTTCCACCTTTTGTCATCATCTTCGTCAGCCAAACCTCCACTTCCTCCCCCTCTCCTGCCGGAAAAAACAACAATTACCGTCGTTGAGACTGACTGAGCAAGCGGCCACACACACGTGTGGCTCGCTGTTGATAATTGGTTTTTTACCCTTCTATCTGGCGTCATCTGGTCCAACACCATGTGAGACTAGGCTCTAAGGAAAGCTGTCTCGGGTGTGGACCAATCAACTTCAAGGACAGTGCATACATTATCAGAGTTATGTTCTTTTGTTTGCATTATGACTGCAGGTATTGTGGTCTATGCAAACATGACTCCTTGTAAAAAGGTGTCAATTTTGTTGCCAGATAGAAGGGTAAAACACCAATTATCATATTTTTACTGGCAAATGAGGTTCCCATAGTGTAGATGCTTGCCCCGAGCTCTCATACTCTGATGGTGCGTTGTCTTTGATTTGTGCGCCTTTTGGCGTCATCTGGTCCAACCCATGTGAGACTAGGCTCTAAGGAAAGCTGTCTCGGG